GACCACGGGATCTAGCCCTTTGACTTTGCACGGACGGGTTTTGACCAGTGGAACTATCCACCCGGTCGTGTTAGGTCAGCCCATACGAACACTTTAGAGCAACATCCGAACCAAACCCACAGTAAGATCCCCTCCGTGTAGACCCGACGCGTCCTTTTCCCCCCTCCAGGTGCCGGCGGCGGCGCCGTCCGTGTGAGGGGGCACACCCCGGAGACGCGTGCCGCCTCTTCGGACATGCCAGCACACTGTACGGCATGTATGAGGGCCCGGTGCGACGCTCGGGTGGCATTGATACCCCCCAGGTAGACCCGGGCAAACACCTGGCCGGGCCGGGTTTCGGTCCGGGCTTGTATAAGCCTGACCTTCATTTCTCAAGCCCGAGCCCAGCCCGAAGCCCGAAATACTCCTTGTTTTCAAGCCCGAGCCCGGCCCGAAATGAAGCCCGTAGCCCGAAAGCCGGGCCTGAATGCTATTTTTCAGTGTACGCACGTGCAAGCCCGGCCCGAAATACATGAAAAGTGAAGCCCGAGCCCGGCCCGAACTATCTTTCGGGCTGCAAAACAAGGCCCGAGCCCGGCCCGAATGTCAAGCCCGGCCTGGCCCGGCCTGGGTTTTTTGGGCCGGGCTCGGGCCGGGTCGTCGGGCCGGGCTGTCCATGACCGGGTTTACCCCCAGGGCCCTCGTCCCGCCTAACCCTGTAGGGTTTGACCACGGGATCTAGCCCTTTGACTTTGCACGGACGGGTTTTGACCAGTGGAACTATCCACCCGGTCGTGTTAGGTCAGCCCATACGAACACTTTAGAGCAACATCCGGGCCAAACCCACAGTAAGATCCCCTCCGTGTAGACCCGACGCGTCCGTTTCCCCCCTCCAGGTGCCGGCGGCGGCGCCGTCCGTGTGAGTGGGCACACCCCGGAGACGCGTGCCGCCTCTTCGGACATGCCAGCACACTGTACGGCATGTATGAGGGCCCGGTGCGACGCTCGGGTGGCATTGCTACCCCCCCAGGGCCTCCGTCCCGCCTAACCCTGTAGCG